TCCCACACCTCCCCCCCCCCCCCCCCCTGCTCTCTGGTCATCAGTAGTTCACATATGAAAGCATACCTCAGGACCAGCATAGTCACCTAGCACAGTCCAGCCTGCCCACACTTTGCTGCATACATTGATTACAGCTTACCAAATGTACCGCCCATGGGGATCAATGATGTACCTGTGCCAAGCAGAACGCCATTATTTGCTGGGCCGGGTCTCCCCCCCCCCCCCCCCCCCCCCCCTCCCAATGTCGGCCTCTGTCTCTCCTCCTTCCCAACTTTCAACCCACTGCCGTGGACGCACAGTCGGTCAGTGTCTGTCATTACCAACTACTAACCCCCTTGCCCCTCTCCCTCCTTACCTTTACCTTGTACCAAGTACAGTACTTGTTATCTGAACATCCCTACAAATAACAATTAGTATTTGGATTGGGATATACCATATTTGTGCATGGCTAGGCCCACCATGACAGTGCTTGGGCCAGGCAAAAGGTTGTGTTAATGTTTATTGTTTAAAACTTAAAGCTCAACGTCTTCACAGACTCATTCCTGCAACATTCCTCTTTTGGTTTTAGTGACGTCCAGTGCCCTGTAAGCCTATGATATAATGGACCTACCCCATAGAAGTGCCTTATCACGCTGACCTGGGTGCACAGGAGAACGCTGCAAAGAATGTCACCCCCATCAATACATACAGCATAGAGGACCGCCAACAGCTGGAGGAAGAAAAAGTGGAAAGAAAGGGGTCGATTCAATGAAAAGGGGGTAAGATCAGGAAATGTGAAGGAGGGGATGCTTCACCTGGAGCTGGGTTTTAATGGTTACTTTGATTATTTGCAGTATAGGGTTGCGTTAAAGTCACTTAGAATGGAACTACTTCTATGCTCAAACAGAATATTGCTCCAGTGTAAGATAAACGTGATACTTTTGCTCCTGCCATAACACCAACACTATTTTGCCTAAAATAATAGTTGGGAGGCATCCCCCTTCCATATTGTTTTGTCCCTTGGGTCGTGTGTTCTCTATGTGCTTCCTTCCTTTTCGTCCCTCTTCAGTGTTGTCTGGCCAGATGGGAGACAATGCGGTCCTATCACCTACCTTTATATCTCCTGATTGAGACGCACACAGCTGTTCTAGAAACACGACACTTGCCCTTCACTGCATGATTTGATCTTCGTATTTACCGCTGTATGTGATTGGTACTTGGGCTGTGTACATCTATATGCATGTTTATATGCTTGTGTCTCATGATGGAATGTAACTGCATACTCCGGTACTGCGTTGATCCCCATGTTTGCCTGTCTTTTATGTTACCTGTATTAAAACCTTTAATAAACACTTATTATTTAAAAAAATAATAGTTGGGAAAGATGTTAACTTTTCTCCAATTAATTATATGGTATATCATTATTTGTTTGGTACTAAATACAGATTATCTTTAATGTTAATAGGAATGTTAGGAGAGAACACCCCCAATTAAAACAAAAAAAAAGTGCCTGGGGTTCCCCTCAAAATCCATACCAGGCCTTTTAAGTCTGGTAGGAATTTCCAACAGCCCCCAAAAAATGGGGGGAAAAAAACCGTGGGGTCCCCCTAACATTCCTACCAGACCCTTGATCTGAGCAGAGGCCCGGATCCGAGCAGAGGCCCGCAGGGCTTGTGGCCTGCGCTTTACCAGGCCACAAGCCCTCAGCATTGGGAGGGTGTCCCCATGCCAATGGGGACAAGGGCCTCTTCCCCACAACCCTGACCCTGTGGTTGTGGCGGTCAGTGTGCAATGGGGCTTATTTGCATTGGGGTATCCCTTTAATTAAGCCCAGATGCCGTCCCCCCTTGTGAATGAGTAAGGGGTACTCCCCCTACTCCTTCACTAAAAGGGTTACATTTAAAGTAAATAAACAAACCACACTTTTAGAAAAAAATCCTTTAATTGAAAAAAAACAATAAATATTTTACTATTCCTTTAATTATTTTATTTTTTTTAAATGGCTCCATCGATGTAATCCAGAGTCAATCACGATGCACGATGCCCGCGGACCCGCCGAAATAAAAAAGTCCCGCCACACGATGACAGTCCGCACCCAACGAAAACTCGCCACAAAATCTGGTAATGAATTGATGAATGTGTTTGCCATTTGCTTTTTTTGGGCAGCCCTCAATGATGCAGAGAGTAATGATGACGTCATAATGATGTCAGCACCACTCTCTGCATCATTACACATGGTGCAAGGCACTGTGGTGACACCCTACACTCACAGTATGCCTTTATTTCATACTTAAAGAAGAACAGGATTTTTTAAAATGAATCCTTATTGTGGGGCTACAAGAGTTAGGTGCTCTTTTGTATCTAGGTTAAAAAAAAATAAAACTTACCGGAAGCTCTGAGCTGGCCTCTTCTTACACTGGAGGCCTCTTCCCTCCAGTGTCTCTCCCCTTCTCTGCAGCGGTCTAAGGTTCAATAAATCATCACATCTATACACAATGTATAGACGTGAGGATGCTGAGGAAGATCCCAATGCTGCTGCAGAGGGTACAGGCTTGAGGGAGCGCTGTGACAGCTGGCCAGGGTGAGTATACGTTTGTTATTTTTGTCCTTAAACACAAATTTAACCCTGGCAGTCCACTGCCAGGGTTAATAAAAAGTTTTCCTGGACATCTTCTATAAGTAAGGATACCATGTGTTAGCTAGAGAGATCATAGCTAGACATATTGAAGTCTTAGACAGGCATTTAGAGGAGGGGGTGAGGTGGACAAGTCCCTGCTGTGAATCAATTGTGTGTGTGAGTTTCAGCTTCAGCTATGGAGTTCTGTCAACAGCAGACTTTTTACAGGTGGTAAGGAGAAACAGAGAAAACAGGAAAAGAAGCCTAAGCCTGCACCTTCTGGCAGAAAATAGGAATACAAAATACTAATATGTGATAAGTATTGTTTACCTAATAAAAAATTTGACCAAAATAAATAAACAATAATACAAAAAATGTACATAACTTCTATAACAAGTAGATTTATCATGACTGAATACACAGAATTAGTTATATGGTATATAGTACATTTTTATTTGTGTGGCATTAAATAAAGAGAATTGTTAATGTTTTCCAGTTTCTTTTTTTAAATGTATATGTTTATTTTACATGCTCCCCACTAGGTACAATAATTCTACATTTCAAGAAAAAAAACTGCATTCAGTTCGGGCAAAATGTGTTTAGCCCACCATGGCATATTCATTGCATTGTTTTTCTGGATCCTCATTTGGTATTAGGATGTATTTGCAGGCCTTCCTGTCAAATTTGAATATGCAGCCCTCGTCGTAGGTAACAGGTCTTGTATAACTGGAAAAAACAATTTATCGGTTACACCTACTACTCCAATGGACACTGCTAGACATGGTAAAAGTAATTGTGCAGCACAAGAGCGAGGCATGCAAACGAAATGTTATGTAGAATCTAACCTAAAGTGGAACTTACCTGCCCTCACACATGCTGACATCTTCTCCTGGGGTCGGGGCTTTGGCCATCTTGATTGGCCAGCAGGGGTTAAATGAACAGCAGGGGTTAAATGAACTCATGTGCAAGTGCACAGAAATTCACCCCAACACTGAGGTGCGCTGAGAATGTACAATGAGCTGTGCATGCTCAGCTCAGTGTACATTCTGAAGAAGATTATAAAACAGGCAGGTAAGTTAGTTTTATTGCAGAAGAGGCATAGCCTGTCTGTTCTGCAAAAATATGCCTGCCTGCTTGCAATATTTGTTTAGTTCCACTTTAATAGAGTATTGATACATAGAGTATGGATTGGATGTACATAGTGACACACAGGCACAAGTTAAAATAAAAAAAATGGAACAACTTTGAAAAAAGTCCCACTCTAGGAAGAAAAAACCCCAAACATTGGGGGGAATTTATCAAAACTGGAGTAGACAAATTCTGGAGCAGTTGCTCATGGAAACCAATCAGCATCTCTCTTCAGTTTGTTTAGGCAAGATTTGAAAACGAGACAGAGAGGCTGATTGGTTGCAGTGCAAATCTGCTCCAGATTTTGTCTGCTTCAGTTTTGATAAATTCGCCCCATTAAGTCTAAGCGTAGAGGAACAAGATGTAATACTTACCTTAATCTTATCTCTATCTGGCATCTTCTATGCTGTGCGACAGGTCCCCTGAAGCCTCTTCTCTAAAACATTTCTGCCAGCAGTCAAACATTGATGTCATCAAGTACAATACAGGACCAATAGCCCTGCACTGCACGTGAGCATGGCGAGGGTCCGCCGACGAAAACAAAATTACATAAAGCCTATCTCTAAAGGGGGTTGGAAGAAATTATTAACAAACAATAAATCTATTTGAATGCTAAAAATATTAACATACGCGTCACAGCATTTCATTCCTCCATCTTTGCCACAACTACAGTCCAAACAGTTCTTTGTCCTCCATGATTTACCGAATGGATGTAATTTTCCCTTATAGAGACATCCTGTAAAAAATAAGAAAACTATTACCCAATATACTTAGATCTTAAAGCTGAAAGCTTTTGGCTGTTGCAGTTGAACTCCTATCCTTGGCATATCTGCAATGATCAAGACTGAAAGCTTCGTCTCTTAAATATATATCTGCCCTCTACTATGCCCGATAGTGGTTAGTACAAAACACTGCACTAATAGGACATAAATATACTGGATGGACCAAGATAGGAACTTTCTTACCTTCTGATAACAAGGACAGTACAAACATTTGCCCTACTCTCTGGAGGAGAACTGGAAATGAATTTGTGTTATCTGTATGATTAGATGTTCTTAGACACAGAATGTTTTTAAACCTCATTGCTTTAACTTTACTTTTATGTGTATATACCTCTACAATGAAGAGAGATGATTTGGGTATTGGTTATGGGGTTATGTTATTATTCTTTTAACTTAATTTGCCTGAAACATTAAGGTTGTGCCTGGATGCAATGCTTGCGTTGTGACTGGTGTCACAATCTTATCAAATTATAAAGTTCTTTATTACAATGGATATTGTAATAAAGTCCTGATAAGTATCAGGATGGAAAGCGGGGTGGGGGGGAGGAGACAGCCATGCGACTAGAGCCCGATCCGGCGGTGAGGGGGAGGAGTCAGCTGTCAAAATAGACCGAGCTCTCCTCCCGGCACCGCCGGCTCAGCTGCGGCAGTGAGTCAGGATGGAGAACGGTACAAGCAATCAGCGATCAGTGATTGCTGACTGGTTGTAAATAACTGTACATAGTATGATCACTTCATCATTACATCACTTCCTGTTCATTCATAATTATGTGCATAGTAAACATACTATATCTACACTTTATGAATAAACAAGAACACTCCGTATAGAGCATTCCTGTTCATTATAACAGGGGCTGCAGAAAAAGAGATGTAGGACTCAATCTCTTTTCCTATTTTAAAAGGGAAATATCAGGGTATATTAGACCCCTGATATTTCACCAAAGCCCCCAGCAGTAAAGTTACAAAAATAAAAATATTTAATAAGCATAAAATAAATAAAATATAAGAAAATTATAAAGTTAATAAAAATGAATAAAATTACAATATTTTAAAAAATTGAAAAATTTTAGAATTTTTTTTGCGGTTTTGGCCTAACATTTTTTTATTTTTGGTTTCAAAATTTTCATTTTGGTGCACCTCTGATCATAATAATAATAATAATGATAATACTGTTTCCCTATAAGATATATCGTTACCTGTTATTCATTTACAACTGAATTGCCCCCCTGACACGGTTGGACATACTCCCAGGGGTACCACTGGTTGACAAACGAGCTTATAGGTCAATATTCAAGGAGATTATTGTAGAATTCGGCCCTCCAGTTCACTGGGCTCCAGTGAACAGACAGGCTGATTTCTTAGGAATGTAAATGATCTCTAAGGAATGGACATGCACCTGTCTCAGTGATGTCATTGGTCTCTAGTGAATGGGCAGGCTGCATTCACATTGATGTAACTGGTGTCTAGTCCACTTCACTAGTTTCATGACAGACTGCATTGGTATTGATGCCACTGGTGTCTAATTCACTGAGCCACATTCATATATACCCGTGATTAGGTCTTTAATGAATGGACAGGCTGCATTAACATTGATGCCACCGGTGTCTAGTACACTGAACCTTTTTTATATAGATCCATAATTTGTTCTCTAATAAATGGACAGGCTGGAATGGCATTGAGGTCACTGGTGGCTAGTCCACTGGTCTAGTTTATTTTATGCTCCTGATTAGTTGGGAGCGAGCTGCCTCTCGATTAGAGAGCTGCAGGGGGGCAATTGCCCCCCCTGTAGTGACACATTAGTGTGCAACGGGGAAAAAAACAGGGTATTTTTGCTTGCAAATGATGGAATTCAGCAGAACTTTACCTCATTCACTAAGTTAAATGAAAATTCCATTGCATAGTGTACAGCCTTTAGTAAATCAACCCATTTATATTTATTTTGCTCTAGTTTTTGCAGTGATCCTTCCCAGTGATTGTCCATACTGAGGGCAACTTTCTCGTAGATACCTTTGTCTACCAAGAAGGTTCATTTACTTCTGCTGACTGAGTGAGTTGTTGCAGTGATGCTATTACAGACAAGTGCAATGATCATAACAATAGTAGAACAGTTCTCATATTCACTTGCAAGAAAAATGCTAATTATATACCATTTGCAGGGCAGAAAGCTGCTGCAACCTATCTAATACTGAATCCAAACTGAGCCATGAAAACCCCAGCATTAAAACTAGAACTGCATATGGACTTGATATCAATAACAGAGCCTGTCTTCTAGGACTCAGTACTCACTTGTAAAACTTTTATTCTAACTATACTGTATATGGTGATCATGAGTGACTTAAGCACTCTGTACCACATACTAAGGTTTGTACTGCTCTGTTTGGATAGAAAGTGCAGTGATATTATGACATAGATACTCAGGATGCGTCCTCTCCTCTTCCTCTGTTTGGGGAGACTTCTGAGGATAATGGAGGTCAACCAAAGTCTGATGACCCTGAAAACAGTAGAGTTTGCAGCTTGGATGCCATACAACCTTGAGAATTTAAATGCAGCTGCAACCTCTGTTCTGCTATTAGTCGTATGTATTTTATGATCAGGTAGCATAGTTTCCAAAGCTTTTAACTTTACTATGGCATGAAAAAACATTAACTCACCCTTTGGTGGCTGGTCACCTGCTTCAGGTAGCTGGAAATAACAGGCTGCTTCACACACTACCAAATAGGCACCAGCAAGAAATACAATAGCCACAAGATATTTCTGAAAGGTTTGTAAGAAAAAATAGGTTTTGGTTAGTTGTTTACAATGTGATTTCAGTAGAAAAACTATTTCTTTTTTTTTTCATATTAAATGTTTATTAAAGATTTTCAAAATATAACAAAAAACACACATACAATACAGTAAGCATACATTAAGACAATCACATTACATACGATATCCAAGGTAAAAGGGGGGACAAGAGACGTAGGGGTACAGGGAAAGACGACCGCTGATTAGTCCGACCAAGGCAGCTACAGGATCTACAAGGCACTGGCTAGTTGATGTGGATGTAGCAGGTGCAGGAGCTCAGAGCACACACATCCTCACTCACTCATGGGTTAGCCACACCCCCCACAACCCAGCAATAATACAGAAAAACTATTTCTAAGGATATTTAACAGAATGAAAAAAATCATAGTGCCTATAACTGCCATTGTACTGATATACAGAAACAAGGAATGGTACTGGTCTTATGACTGCTCACCTGTATCCATAATCAGCTACCACTATGGATTTTACTTAATACTGCACATGGATTTGTTAAGTCTCAATTCTGTCATGGACATTTTCTGTGATTTGTATTGTTTTTGTTGCAATCCTATGAAAACATTTGGGATGTATAAATACTATACAATTATAAAAGAAATATAATGAATGCATCATTGTGTCACTGGTTTCTAGTAAATATGTCTTGTCACCAGTCTTTTAATAAATGCCTAAGCTAAAATTACTAGCAGGCTTGCATGACACAAATGTATGGATAGGCTGCATTCTCAGTGATGGTACTGGTCTACAGTGAAGGGACAGGCCACTTCCTCAGGGATGTAAATGGTCTTAAGGAATGGACAGGTTCCCTTCTCATTGATGTCACTGGTCTCCAGTGAAGAGACAGACAGCAGTGTTAGTGATGTCTATGGTCTATAGTGCACAGCTATGTTGCATTGTCAGTGATGTTACTGGTCTCTAGTGGATGTAATAGGTCTTTAGTGAGTGGATAATTGCATTCTCAGTAATGTCACTGCTCTCTAGTAAATAGTTACACTAGTTTCTTAGTGATGTCACTGGTCTCTAGTGAATGGACATACTGCATTATTAGGGATGACACTGTCTCTAGTGAACGGACAGGTTGTATTATTAAGGATGTCACCGGTCTCTATTGAATGGATACACTGCATTATTAGGGATGTCACTGGTCTCTAGTGAATGGACAGGCTGCATTATTAGCCCCTTCGTGACTGACGACGTACAGTGTACGTCGCCAGCATTGGGGCTGTTTAAACAGACTCCCGGCGACTTTTGCCGCCGGGAGTCTGTTTAAATTTGTAGAGCCGAAAAGGGCCTCAGTCATGAAGGGGTTAGGGATGTCACTGGTTTCTAGTGAATGGACAGGCTGCATTATTAGGGATGTCACTGGTCTCTAGTGAATGTATATACTGCATTATTAGGGATGTCACTGGTCTCTAGTGAATGGACAGGCTGCATCATTAGGGATCTCACTGGTCTCTAGTGAATGGATACACTGCATTATTAGGCATGTCACTTGTCTCTAGGGAATGGAGAGGCTGCATCATTAGGGATGTCACTGGTCTCTAGTAAATGGACAGGCTGCATCATTAGGGATGTCACTGGTCTCTAGTGAATGGATACATTGCATTATTAGGGATGTCATTGGTCTCTAGTGAATGGATACACTGCATTATTAGGTATCTCACTGGTCTCTAGTGAATGGATACATTGCATTATTAGGGATCTCACTGGTCTCTAGTGAATGAACAGGCTGCATCATTAGGGATCTCACTGGTCTCTAAGGAATGGATACACTGCATCATTAGGGATCTCACTGGTCTCTAGTGAATGAATACATTGCATTATTAGGGATCTCACTGGTCTCTAGTGAATGGACAGGCTGCATCATTAGGGATCTCACTGGTCTCTAGTGAATGGATACACTGCATTTTAAGGCATGTCACTGGTCTCTAGTGAATGGATACACTGCATTATTAGGCATGTCACTTCTCTCTAGTGAATGGACAGGCTGCATTATTAGGGATCTCACTGGTCTCTAGTGAATGGATAGGCTGCATCATTAGGGATGTCACTGGTCCCTAGTGAATGGACAGGCCGCATCATTAGGGATGTCACTGGTCTCCAGTGAATGGATACACTGCATCATTAGGGATCTCACTGGTCTCTAGTGAATGGATACACTGCATTATTAGGCATGTCACTTGTCTCTAGGGAATGGACAGGCTGCATTATTAGGGATGTTACTGATCTCTAGTGAATGGGCAGGCTGCATTATTAGGGATGTCACTGATCTCTAGTGAATGGATACACTGCATTCTAGTAAACAGTGATGTCACCAGATTCTGGTGAATATATAGGATGCATTCTCAGTGGTGTCACTGGTGTCTAATAGGTAGGCTGCTTTCTTATCTGTGTTGCCAGTCTCTAATAAATGGATAGGCTGTATTCTCTGGGATGTCACTGGTGTCTGGCTTTTGGCTAGACACAGAATGCAGCCTTTTTATCAGTGCTGTACTTGTGCATCTTTATTATGTGGATGATATCTTCCTTCCTGTTATCATCCTCTCTGAGGTCTGAAATAAAGCCATCACCAAACGTTAACCCAGTCTCTTCCTGAATATGTTTTGCAATCTTTCATCCTCTCGTACTCTCTATTACCGTTATAGTGCATTAAGTTGAAGTCAGGTGCGTAATTAAGTAATTAGCATAGTTCTTGCTGATAGAATCTAATGCCAACGTGCTATTGTTGCACAAATATCACTGTACTTATTTTGCTTGAAAATGCTACATTTCTAAAGTATTGCTCACTGAACAAAGAAGTCAATACAGCTCAGTATGACAAAGTCACCAATATATAACACAGTGCCTGATCTTTGACTAAATTACTGTAGCCTAGAACAGTGGTCAATAGTTTACAGTGTGTAAGGGAGTAGGATAGCTATACCAATGGGAGTAAATGAATGTTCAATGAATGAAGTGAATGTTAATGTATACATTGAACCTGTGTTCACTTTAAATACCCAGTCATGTGCAATTCACTTTACAAAGTGAACATTGGGGTTGATTTCAGGAGAGGAGCAGATTCACTTTACAAAGTGAGTTTTCACTTAGTTTAGTAAATAAGGTAAACTAAATAAAAAGTGAACAGCTTCTTCTTTCTTAGTAAATTAACCCTGATGAATTATTCATTCACTTCCTACATATTGAAAGTCACTGAAACTGATAAGATGAAATGTGCACATAAAGAATTATTTACAAGTCCATTTTTAAACCTGCTAACGAAAAAATAAATACATTTACCAGAAATTATTATAAGCCTTATAATTATAGCATTTTTTTTAAATGTAATTTAGGAAATTGGTCTCATTGGGAAGTTTAATATATCTCAATGTATACTTCTGTTTTACAAAAGCCTTAACCCCATAGTTCTCCTTTAACTGTTATTATTATCTGACAGTTATTTGTTTCCCGAACTCTATATAACCAATGTGAGTTCTGAGCCTTAGCTGCGTCCTCTATTTACATACACTGATGGTTAACAATATTGGATATTATTAGGTATTGGGTATCATAATGGGGTACTCTCAATACAAAAAGAAATCAGTTAAAATACATAAATAAAAAAACAGAAAACAAAGCATTTATATACAATTATGTATTGTAGTAAGCATTTTAGTTAAAGTTAATAATGGTTGTATAATAACTAGTAATATATTATAGGTTGTTTGCTTTGTAACAAATAATACTGTAATATATTGTTTTGAAAATATGAACCAGTATGCAAATGTTCCATTGCTTTAACATGTGAATCACCTCTCTGAGTAGTGGAAATTGTTGACCTATGGAAGTCCTGAAAGTAATTTGTTAAGGTGGAATTAGTATTATTATTATACATGATTTATATAGCGCCAACAGTTTGCGCAGCGCTTTACAATATAAGGAAGACATTATAATCACAATACAATTCAAGACAAGATGGTAAGGAGGGTTATTAATTATAATAAATATTATACACTGTTATGTTCTTTCATTCATATTTAGAAGAGAGAGAGCAAGAACTTACCATCCTGAGAGATTCTTCAGATACTGAGCACAGTGAACTTTGGATGTGTTATTTATATGTCTTGAGGCTGTTTGTGGATATTACACAGGACTGGACAGGAATGTAAGCAAATGCTGAACCACTAACATCTGTCCAGACTATGTTACTTTTTTTTACTTGCCAACGTTTCCACATTCCTGACCAGCTACACCATTTAACTGTGTATTTATTTAGTTATATCATTTATCAGCTTTAAGTGTTCTGCAGAAACGCATGATTTGTAAATATTACAGTAATAAAAACAAAATAAATTAAGTCTTGGATATATGGGCTGCGGAGTGAGGTGCTTTCAAACACCCCTGAAGACTATTCAGCACCCCCAGTCAATTATGTGGTAGGTTATTGAAGTGCAACTGAAGCAGAGATTTTTTTTAGTTTTAGGATGGATAGGAAAGGTTTAGAACCTTTGTCTGGGTAAAATCTTGAGAAGTTGCATGCTTCCAAAAGATCCAAAAATGGCAGCATGGTAACAACGTAAAGTCAATAGTGTAGAATGCAGTGACTCTGGCTTGGCAGCTCTTAAAACATACAAGGACCTTCGAAACGTGTCTTAAGGGGAATCCAGGAGCACCACGCCAATGGTTCCAGAGTCCAAAAGGGTCATTTATTTATTCCTAAAATATCCAAAGTGAAAAGTCAACACATTTCGGGGGCTTTATGACACCCATTTTATCAGGGCTAAAACCAATGGGACGCTCTAATAAAAGATGCTCCACCAACGTGTTTTTAATTCTCCAAAGTCCATTAGTGTTTTAAGCCCTGATGAGGGGGGGGGGGTGACATATAGCTCCCTGAAACATGCTGGCTTCTCAAAGATTAAATACATTTTTCTTATGAATTCCAGAATCATTGAGGCACTCCTTCCAAGGCAACACCTCCAGGGTCTGTCCCTTTTAAGTATTTTTTGTCTTAAAATGTTGTGTGTCCCCAAAGAATAGAATTCTCTTCTCTTCTGGTTTTGTTTAACCCCTTCGTGATGGAAGACGTACACTGTACGTCCTGTCACAAAGTGCCTATATGACTGGCCACGTACACTGTACGTGACGAGTTATATCAGGCTTTGTAATGCCGGTAACCGCTGATTCTCAGCGGTTACCAGTCATTAATGAATACCTCAGTGTTGAGGCATTCATTAATGAAATAATTAAGCTTTTTGTAAAAGCGTCTTCCTTTCATTAATGAAAGAATGAAGTCGTTACATGCAAATAGAGGACCGCTATTAGCAATCCCGTATTTGACAGCTGAAAATAGCAGAGAGGTAGCGGTGACTTACCTCTCTGCTATTTGTTTTGACAATTCGAGAGCCCGATGTTTAGATACATTTCACTCAAAAAAGATACAATGTATCTCTTTTGAGTGAAATGTATCAGTTCTGATCGTCTAGGCACGATCAAAGAGCTTTTAGTGAGCTCTGAATCTGACTAAAGTCAGGATCAGTCTCTAAGGTTATCATTAGCTGTTCCTATGTTTGGAGCAGCCTAATAATAGAAAGGAGAAAAAAAAGTTAATTTATCAAGCAGTCATAGTGACTGCTTGATATAAACTGACAAAAAAAGGGTTTTTTTTACAAAGTGTAAAAAAAAAACTAAAGTGTAAAACAAAATTAGGAAAATAAAAATTATATATAAAGAAAACTAGCTCAGTCATGAAGGGGTTAATACCCGACAGCTGGACAGAAAGTTAAAGGGAATTCATCCACTAGGAGTTCACAGGCAGCAAAAAAAAGGTTAGTGCGCTGATGTCACTGCCCTTCATTTATTCAGAGAACACATTAGAACATATACCAGATGTCCTCTGAATGGTCATTGTACTGAGAGAGCAACCCACTATGTTTTAAAAGCACAGGAAGTTGTTTAGCACAGCAGATGATCCTTTATTGGGAAGATGCTGGGATACACTACAGTAGCTGTGGCTACTACTGTGTATTACACAATCCCTGTGGCCCTGCCAGGGATCATTTATATGCACTCTCCGGCCACTTTATTAGGTACACCTATTCAATTTCTTGGTAACACAAATTGCTAATCAGCCAATCACATGGCAGCAACTCAATGCATTTAGGCATCTAGATGTGGTGAAGACGACTTGCTTGAAGTTCAAAACAAGGATCAGAATGCGGAAGAAAGGGGATTTAAGTGACTTTGAACATGGCATGGTTGTTGGTGCCAGGCGGCTGGTCTGAGTATTTCAAAATTTCACGAACAACCATCTCTAAGTTTTACAGAGAATGGTCAGAAAAAGAGAAAATATCCAGTGAGCGGCAGTTGTGTGGACGAAAATGCCTTGCTGATATCAGAGGTCAGAGAAGAATGGGAAGACTGGTTCGGGATGATAGAAAGGCAACAGTAACTCAAATAACCACTAGTTACAACCAAGGTATGCAGAATACCATCTCTAAACGCACAACACATTGAACCTTGAACCAGATGGGCTACAGCAGCAGAAGACAACACCGGGTACCACTCCCTTCAGCTAAGAACATGAAACGGAGGCTACATTTCACACAGGCTCACCAAAATTGGACAATAGAAGATTGGAAAAACATTGCCAGGTCTGATGAGTATCTATTTCAGCTGCGACATTCAGATAGTAGGATCAGAATTTGGCATAAACAACATGAAAGCATGGATCTATCCTGCCTTGTATCAATGGTTCAGGCTGGTGGTGGTGTAATGGTGTGGGGGATATTTTCTTGGCACACTTTGGGCCCGTGATGCTATCATATCAATATGGACCAAAATCTCTGAGAAATGTTTCCAACACCTTGTTGAATCTATGCCACAAAGAATGAAGGCAGTTCAGAAGGCAAAAGGGGGTCCAATCTGGTACTAACAGAACAGAGACAGACAATATTGTTTTCAAATAAACCTGCTCCAACTGAAAACCTTGGGTAGTGTTACCCTGTAAAATTTCTAAAAACGGAATAGTGGTTCATCTACAATAAATATGTAATTCTTTAACTTTGACCTTTTTTTAACTTATATATATATTTGTTAAATTAGCCCAGAAAATGTACCCTCTCTTGACAAGTTATGGATTTGTGAATACTGTGTGTATTGATTTTGCTAAGAACACAGCACAGTCTTTAAACCTTGTTATACAGTTAAAGTCTTGTTAATGGAATTCCTAAAACATTTAACATGAGGTTTGTGAGGTCAGTGCAAAATATGTAAGGTTTTGAAAGTAAGTCCCATCCTACAAAAACATTTGTCTGTTTTCTACTTGCATTAGCCTTCAGATTTCCTCATCATGCTCATTTTCCACCATATATGAACAAATGTTTCCACGTAAGATATACAGTATGCGTGTTATTCAATTATAAATGTCTATCTCTGAAATTATTTCATATCAGATGATTTAGGTATCATAGTGCATATATGAGATGCATGAATAACATACAGGATGTACTATAGTAAACAACATACTACATGTGTTACAGTGAGTATATGAGTAGATTTATCTGGGCACAAGTTTGAAATATATGTCAAAGTATGGAGTAGCCTCTAGGCTTGATTCACACCATGTGTGTTGGGGCTGCTCTGGTCATTTTTTCCAGCACAGCCCCAATGCAAGACAAGGCAATATGCCTTGTCACGGATGAGCACAGTTCACACCATCGCAACACTGTGCAATCTGGTGGTGTGCACTGAAAAAGAAAGTTTGTTTTTTTCAGTGCAGTGGGCTGTGATGCGGTACAACATACCGTGCATAATACCGTACTGTGCCCAGAGAACTTAAAGGAGAACTATGGGGTTAAGGCTTTTCCCCATAGTTCTCCTTAGGGTAACGGGAGGACACAAACTAGCGTCCTCCCGTCACCCTAAGCTCAGTATACCGCGAGCTACAGCTCACGGTATACTGAGACGCCACAGTATATCTGAGACGCTGAAGCGGATCCCGACATTATGTCTGGATCCGCCCAGCTGCGTGAGTGACAGCTGGCTCTGCCTATCTAGAGGCAGAACCAGCTGTATCCGCCCCCTCCCCAGTCCGTTCCGCCAGTCAGCGCTGGCGGATTGGAGCGGGGAGGGGGGAATCCAGCCCCTCCCCTGTCACGGCAGAGAGCTGTGACAGGATCGAAAGGTGAGCGAACGCTGGTATGTGTTCGCTCACCTCCCGATCTACTGAGCCAACCTGTGACAGTCTCATTGTCACAGGTCAGCTAGAACTATGAGGCGAGTGAAAAGCACTCACCTCATAGTTCTCCTTTAAATGAAATGTTATTTTAATAATGTTATAAAAAAAAAAGCCTCATTGTATCGCTGCTGCCAATATGAATGCAGCCATAACTTTATTTCAGTTGATTAGTTATAAACTGTTATGCTATGTACTATGAATAATATCTCTCTGCTCACAGCCATCTGGAAATGAAAAAGCTAAAGTGAACCTGTTAAGCCATAAATTGTATAACTTAGATTACAGCTATAGAACCTCTAAGTATCTTTTTTATTCATTAAATCCTTTTCTCTGCACCCAAAGACCCACCTGATACCAACCGGTATCAGGACAAAAAATGTAAGATGACCTGACAGGTTTCCTTTATCATAAAAAAATGTGCAGTCCTTCAAAAAGAACACCTACAATCTTCTGATTCTTATTCCAGAGGTTTATACTATAACTTCCTGACAACTTTAGAGGGGACAGTGACAGTAACAAAGCTGACTTAGGTCTATTTTCCTTGACAGAGCTTGACAGAGACTAACCCTTACCCACTCTACGCAGAACTAAAAAACAATTTGGATTTACATACACTTTAAGACTGCTTGCTGCTTATATGCATTATACACTAAGGAGAGTTAACTGACTGTGCCATTCGACTTTTTCAAGCCCCTTAGTGGTTGTCTGTCTTAATGTTTCAGTAGCTTTTTCTTCTGAGCCATCACAGAATGTTCCTTCAGTTCCAGAAATTGTTGGCTCTCGGTTGTGTTATTTGAGCTCTGTACTGTTATGTCACTGTGAAGCGATAACTGTTTCCAGTAAA